GGGGGGGCGGCTGGGGGGGTGGTTCCTGTCTGCGGGGGTGTGAGGAGGCAGGGACGGAGCGAGGTGGGCAGCCCCAGCCTCCCGGTCCCTCGTCCACCTGCTGACTAAATGAACTCCCAGAGCGTTTGCCCCGTAGTCCTTCCAGAGACAAGAGGTTTCAGGGGCTGGCCAGCCTTCCCAGGCTCCTGCTCTTCTGAAAGATGTGTGTGGCATTTGCTTTTATCCAGTTGTCAGGAACATGTAATCTCCGTGACCTTTCAAAAAATCAGCGGCCTCAGAATGGTGTCGTAATCTTACCATTACCACTAGACTGCAGCTTTAAAATGCAGGGGTGCTGCCTTATCATCTTGACACGAGAGTGAAAGCGCTGATAGCATATACAGGGTGGTGTCCTGAACTGAGCTGCGTGCTCAGCCTGAGCTCCTCTGTCCGTCTCTGCAACCTCGGGAGCTGTTGCAGCCTGGCCTGGAAAAGCTCCATCACCTTGCCTCTCGTTGCAGAGCTTCGAGTGACATCAGGGTTCCGTGTACTGCAGTGATAAAAGTCGACATAAAAAGGCAGAAATCTTTGTTGCTGTTAGTATTTGCTCTGTTTTGAGGGGACTGTGTTAGGCTAATTTGTTTTGTTTTGTAGGCAAACCCAACATCCTTCAGCGTCTCTTATTTTGTAAATGTTTTTCCTTTCTGAAGTACAGCTTTCCTCGATGTAAAGGAGAATCTGACTCTAAACTAAACTGAGTGCTTGGGCTATTCTTTGTATCAGGGTTTCTGCACCTCAAGAGTAGGAACTGGTAGACACAGACTTTGTCTTTTGTACTTTACTTCGATCAAGAAAATAGACCCTGAGGCTGTTATTTCTGAATCTACTGTGGAGGAATTATTAACATGAAAAGCATTCTTGAGGATCGTCTCACTATTTTTAAAGCATTGTGGTATCCCTTATTTTCTACACTGTTCCCACATGTTATGTGTTTTTTGCGTATTTCTCAGGTCTAACCAAATGGCGGTATTCTGGGTGACATCTAAAGTTTTGTGTTGCTGTTTAGCATCTTTTAACACTCGGCAGATTTCAGCAAAAGCAGCATTACATTTGCAAACTCCACAAGAATTAGAGACCTCTTGTGGAGTTTTTTAGATGTTACATCCTTTAGTGTTGCTTTAAAAAAAAAAAATGTATGGTCGCGTTTTTAGAGGTTTTTTTCCGGCAGAGGGAGACATCTGACCGTGAAATTCAAATCTAGCCACTATTCTTGTAGCTTGTTTTATCAATATACATATAAAACTCAATGTTCAAATTAACTAGTTCAATAAGTAATTTAGCTCATTGATTTTTGGGCATATCCTAAGTGCCATTACAAGCTACGGATATTTTAAATGCCATTACCTAATAGAAGGAATGTTTTAAGCACCTTTTATTGATTTTATTACTGCTTTATTTTGCTGTCTTGGTTTAAAATCATTTTAACCACTCTGTAATCAAGAAGAAATATATCGTTGGTGAAATACAGTCAATTTCCTAAAAACCTTTGACATCGTTAAATAAGGAATTACAGTTGTTAAATCATGTCAAGCAATAACCGAGGGACAGAAAAGATATAAAATTTGGAGCAGTGGGCCAGCATACCAGTAAGCTGTTTTGACCTTTGGCATTCGGACTCCGTATGTGACAATCACTCTTCAATTCTGTTCTCGGTTCTTATATCAGTCAGAAGAGATTTAAAATCTCAGCATGCCAGGAAGGTTGTGGAAGGATAACAGAGTATGATCTAGAGACAATTAAGGGGCATTTTAATGACCTGCTGTGACTTTTTGTTAAAATTACTCTCTAACTTAGCACATTTGAAGTTTCATTTGCTGGACTGTATTGCTAGTAGTTTAGTGTATTGATGTTATACACAAAAGGAGTAAATTGAGTCTGCTCACAGGGATTTCAGTTACTTCCCTTCCCAGCTCTTTTGACTTGAGAAGATTATCAGTATTATTGAGCTAATCAGCTAGTAGACGTAGACTGGGAATACAGGCAATATGTTGCTTAATCAAAGAATTGAAAAGTAAGTAATGAATGTTGGTGCTCAATAAAAAACAGCTAATGAGTTGATTGCATTGATGCTTGATGTAATTTAACTGCAGAGTGGCAAACATCAATACTTATATATGATTTGGCTCATGATTGCTGAGCTGAAACTCAAAAGTTTAGAGAGGTTCTGCAGTGTGTGAGCCCTGGCAACTGACCTGAAGTGGGGAGGGAGGGAGCCGCATTTTATTCTTTAAATGAAACAAGTGATTCCATCATTAATTTTTGGGCTTTTATTTTGTTTAAAAAAACAAAAAGCCCCACAAAACCCAAAACTTACACATAACTGTATTCTGAGGTATGACAATAATGTCTGGATTGAAAAATAAGAATAAATCATCATAAAGTAGTTTAAAAATCAAATTAATGATTATAAATGTTAAACCAACCTTTAGTCTTGATTCATCTGCCCATGGCAGGGGGGTTGGAATTAGATGATCTATAAGGTCCTTTCCAACCCAAACCATCCTATGATTCTATGTGTCTTCCTTTAATAATAACCTTGATAACCTCAAGGGGGAAGTTGGTAGCAAAGAAACATTATGCTGTCTGGAGAGGTGGACGTCTGCTATGTTTGAGCTAGCTACCTCATTCATGTAGTGTCAGTTATGACTGCATTTTAAAAGAAAGTTCGTTTGCAGAAAGTGAACATTGTCTTGAATGGTGCCACATGTAATTTCGTTCTGAATTCACTTTTGCCATTATTCTCTTCCTTTTGATTTGTTAGGTGTTGTAAAATCTCTTCAAATGCAAGGTTACACTTACTGGTGGCTCAGAAGGACATCTTTGTAGGCTTTTCTGAACCAAGATTTGCACTGTCAGCTGCTGTGAAGCAGCAGGAAGAAAACTGTTCGTACCCAGATTCTGCATAGTTTCTACATCTTTTGTCATGTTCTGACCTCTTTTCCAGCCCCGAGGATCACACTTCTACTTCAGGAATGCTGGACCTTCCATCAGGAATCAGTATTTGTCTTTAAACTGTGATGCAATTAGATGTTTCAGAAACTTGGGGTTTATTTCTGTGAAATGTCGTGTGTCATGTTTGGGCCTAGATCCTTATTAGATTGGTGACACATTCTCTGGGCAGCCATCAAGCATAGCTTTATGGAGTCTCTGCTTGCCAGCTGTTTTCTAATTTAACTAATGCTGCCCTACAAAACCGCAATAGCACAGCTGAGGACACTTTTAGTGGCCTTATCTCTTGCCTTCTCCCTTCAATCTGTCAATATTGGGGGTGGGGAGGCAGTGATGGAAATTGGTAACAGGGGAAGAAACAAATTGAGGTAATTCTGTTGGCAGAATCACAGAGGAGTCTGATCATCTGCAGTCTAAGAAAGGCATACGTTTACTGAATACGTTCAGTTTCTAGGTGTTCTTTCCAATGATGAGAGTTAGAAACACAACAGTGATTTAAATGAAAATATCAGCATGTCGCAGTAACAGCCTCAGTTCATCAAGGCCATGAACTGAGCTTCGGATGGTTGTGCGGCAGGCTACACCCTCCAGACTTACAACCTGCGTTGTGTATAGCTCTTGATGTGCATTTTTCCATCTTGGCTGAGAAGGAGCTGCTGTTTGCTGGTCAGTAGCCTCTCCTTGGGAAGAGAGGTTTGATTATCCATGTCACCGAGTCTCTCCCAGATAAAGAGGGTTTTCTACCTACCTAAAGGGCAGAGTGCGTGAAGGAAGATTGCATAAGCAAGCAGA